TTGAGATCTGTTAAACCACAAACTGTAACATACATTTAAACTTTCACATTTATAAGATCTAAAATACTAGGGTTATCTATGTTATCTGTTATTGCTTGTCTATTTATATAAATTAATTGTTCGAAGTACTAGATATATGATTGTATTATGTATTGCATGAATTAACACGTTATCATTAAAAGACAAGTGTTATGTTTACAATCTATTAATCTATTGTAATAATTCATCATATTAACGTCAATTTACTAAAATTTATGATCAATAAGGTTTAAAAACATAACGATTACCAAAGCATAGATTAAATTATTAGAAACTGTATCTTTGATATCGCCACACACGTAGAAAACTTTAAATATCTTATCTCATTATTACTATTAACTTGTCTTAGGGCCTGTCCCACCACTGGTTGATATAAACTCTGATAGCTTAAGAATTACGTCACTGTCAGATAAAGGAACATAATCCGATATTTCCATAACTTGGATTGTTATCAGACAATCCACAATTTGGTAGGACAAGCCCTTACTCTGACTAATTTTATAAATGCGAAAGTTTAGATGGATGAATGTTTGTTAGAATTTGTAGCCTAAACTGCTGAACGCATTTCTATGAAATTTGGAATAGATGTAGAGGATAGTCTGGAAGAAGACATAGGCTACCTATTTTTTTTTAATCACATGCGAACGAAGTCGCGGGCGAAATCAAGTGCTTCATATTGTGGAAACCCAGTGGTTACACAATCCGAATGTACGATATCAAAAAAGAGAAAACAAACGTCAATTTTTCGTTTGATAACTGTCAAGGTTATTTAATTGCGAAATAATTACGCAAAACGTCTGCTTTAGGCATGTTTGAACAATATAGCCGAGATAAATCACGCATGATTCAGACTTAGAGATTCAAATGAGTTATAGAGCGGTCATACAAACATTGTTAGGTGATAAACTATGATGTGAATATTCGAATCATGTTTCCAAAACTACAAGTGATGTATCCATTTTGAGGATACAGTTTATTCCGTAATGTCCTGTCTGTTATGTTGAAAGTCTGTTCATACCACAGAGTACGCTCATGTGACCGCGTGTGTTATTGTTATTTGCAATCAATGCCTTATCTCGGCATCCCGTGTCATAATGCCTTAATACAATTATTTACGCTCATTATTTATTAATGAACCATTAAAATTATTTTTATTTGTTCAAATTATCTAAAAGTAATGCAGATAGCTTTGTTGATCCTTTCAAAATATTTAGTTAAAACACGCAAAAGGAAATGCGGAAATATTACGTATTTATTTGATCTGTATTTTTTTGTTGAGTTCGAAATATCACCGAGCTTTGTCTTTATTTGTTGTAAATTTTATTCTAGTAAATTTAAATACATAGATACATTTACCTCGACAAATCCATTAAACTAGTTAGTAAATGTTGTCTGTTTTATGTAAAAGGTCTTATACAATTTATAGCTGTACAATAATCTTATTATATTCTAAAAGCCATGCCATGCAATGCCATGTACAGGTTGTGGGTTCTAATCCCGACAAAGTTGTTTGCGATTTACATCATACTAATGTTATAAATTCGAAAGTTTAGATGGATGGTTGGATAGATGGATGTTTGTTAGAGTTTGTAGTCTAAACAGCTGAACCGATTTTGATGAAATTTGGTATAGAAGATAGTCTGAAAGAACACGTTGGTTACACACTTTTGCTTTTTTTAAATTTACGTCCACGCGGACTGAGTCTCGGGCAAAATCTAGTATGTACATAACTTACCCGACGTTCTTACAGTGAAAGAAAACATCGTGATGCCTGCAGATACCGTCGATGAAATACCAAGACATGTGTGCAGTAAACCACACTGGGCAAGCTGTTTGACTAAGGCCTAGTCACCCTTAACTTAGGATAGGTTCCGAGCCCCTTAGTGGGGACGTATAGTAGATGATGAATGGAAATCTGGTTTTGTAAAAGGGTTTTCGGAAAGAAAACGTAAAGTAGTATTACATTGTTTTTATTATCTTCTATTATCTATACAGTTGCATGGGACAAACGCGTGGAATGTCGCATTCGAGTGTTTCTTTATCTGATAACAGGAATTAATCTCATTTAATGTTTAAAAGGATTATAAAAGAGAAAGAAATTGTTTTTGATTGTTTACATAATTTTAGTAATTCTAACAATATAAGGCTATTTGATTTTTATTTATGTAATGTATTGACGGTGAATACATAATCATGATGAAATCTTTTTAAATTTCAAATAAATGTTTGAAATAATTAACAAAGTAAACGAAGATATATCGTAACAACTTTTTTCGCTTTAGAGTTTCACGTTTTTAGAAGTAACTTTACATAGGACCCTAAAGTGTTAGGAAGATATTTTAAACTCCATAATTTAGACCATGACGTATTTGAATGAATTAAAAATATGATTTTTTAACAATATCCTGAATTAAACATTCATTAGGCTATTCTAATTGCACTGGATTTATATCTCATGTAAATGTTTATTAGTAATTAAATATTCAGGCCAAGTTTTCCAATCATAGGGGAAAAGTGCTGAGGGTCGCGGCCTCGGAGTTACTTCGCAAACACAATCTGTTCTCACGTCAACCTGCGTTATCGTTCGCGGAAAATATCACAGAAAATCTTTAAATTTCCACTCACAGATGCCTAAGGGTTAATTAAATATGATGTTCGAAGTTTTCGTTACTTTAAAACAGGTATGATTTTTACAAATAATATTGGTATTTTTGAATATAAGGCATAAACTCAAATACTAATAGACCGTGTAAATATTTTTTAACCCTTGAAAAATTACATTACACCTAAGTATCATATAATATATTTAATAATAGATTTTTTAAAGCGCGGACGAAGTCTCTAGCAGCAGCTCGTCTACAATATTTTGCTAAATATATAGCGCGTGAAAAATTATCATGTTTAAACAAAATAACCAAATAGAACATCGTGAAATCATGTTTTGCCAATTCTATATTAATTTTTCTCGCTTTTGGTATAATATTCGCTTATTAGTTGTGCACGAGTTTAATGTAACGACAATCGAAAATGATCTGCGAAAAATGTTGACGTAAAAATAGTTGCCAGCAATAAAAAATGGTCTCCCGAAAATGTTAACTGGCTTATAAAATCTTGATTAAAGTTGCAAAAAATAACTTGTAAATCTTAAGTAAGTACTAACATTCGCCCGCGACTCTGTCCACGTGGAATTAAAAAAGCCGATTTCTTTTTCAAGACTGTCCTCTACATCTATGCCAAACTTCATCGAGATCCGATTAGCAGTTTAGTTTACAAACTAACACACATCCATTTGGCATTTGTAATATTAGTAAGACTAAGTATACTGTTTGGTCTTTTCATTTCAACTCATTAAACCGTGTTTAAATGAGGAAATAAAACTCATGATGTTTTAATACGTTTACCTCGTGACTTCAGGTCTAGAATACTAAGATAAAGGCAAAGGAAGATTTCAAAGGCGGTAATTTCTCTGAGAGACGCAATTTTTGCGACGCAAAGAATACATAAGCACGTCGATTACCTCTTAATCATGTGGCATTCGAGTCACATGATATGCCTCTTATCGGAATATTTAACTATTACATAAATAGTTTGACATTTTCAGTCAATTATACGTATATTAAAGCGTAAAAGTTATAAAACATAATTAAGGTAAATCTAAGGATTTCGTATATAAAGTAGGATACTTAGGGATACGTAACGGAAGGTGTAAATATCTGGATACTCCGATCTTAGATACCCGCTAAATCGATCCTCGTAATATCTGATACATTATACTGATATTGTAAATGCTGAAAGTTTCCGTCGATGGATGTTTGTTTTAAGTTTGTTGCATAAATAGCTGAACGAATCTCGATAAAATTTGGCATAGACGTAGAGGATAAACGGGAAGAAAACATAGGTTTCCTTCCATAATCCTAGATAAAGTGACGGTTATGTTTACTCGATATTTCTACAACGGTTTAATATATTGATATTTGGCACAGATATAAAACAAAGTCTGTAGTAACACAAGATAGGGTTCTACCCGAAAAATGTCAGTTTCCCGAGGGGATGGTGTTTTTTGTTCATTTAAGTTGTGTTTATTTTATGACTGCACGGACGAAGCTGTGGGTAATAGGTAGTAATTAATAATTCAAATTATAACCAATAGCCAATAGCGACTATAGTGTTTTGTTTTAAATAGATACGGCGATATACGATTTCGTAATTAGGACACCGGCCGCATTTCGTTAATATAACGTTTGGATTTTATTTTTAAAATGTTTATTTACATGAATTGACCGTAGCCAGTAGACCTGGGTTCTATTAACCTTGGTCCAGGGCTCAATGCCTACATTATTGTATAGAAGTTTTTTTTTTACTACATAATCTAAACTCATATTATAAAGAGGGAAGTTTTGTATTTTTGTATGTATTGACATAACTCAAAAACTGGTGGGCCGATTTCAAAAATTCTTTCACCATTAAAAAGCTACGTCACTGAGTAACATAGGCTATATTTTTTTAATTTTACGTGGACGAAATCGCGAGCAACAGCTAGTAATTTATAATGGAACGAAATTAAGGTAAAAATTGTCTTTGAACTCTACATGTAGTTTCACATTAACATTTAGTTAATATACGTATATGGGATTATTTGTAATTTAAAATAATTCTATAATAAATGGTTATTTATGTTAATAAGCACAACGTCCATCGCGCGTGATTGTTTTTAAATGTTTAATACGAATATAAAATTCTTTGTTGGACGTATAGCAAGTTCTATAAATCTAAATCTAGATTTTAGTCACCAAACAGTGCCTCAAACATATTTCTGAACGCCTAATTGCTCTTTAAGATGAACAAACGTCATTTTAAAATAAAAATAGCACATTTCTTGTTTTAGTTATTACCGAACAAAAGAAAATCCTGAAAATGAGTGTGTTTGCGCGGGAAATTGTCCATATATGCGAGCGACAATAATTTCGCGCCAGTTCATACCTTCCCGCCATAAGCGGTTGACGCGTTGTTTTTTTATGCGTGCTCTTTCACGCAAAAGTATAACTTTATTCTGATTTCAAATATGCAAATAATGTGATCAAATTTAGATAGTATAATAAATTAACTGTGATATTGTGAAGAACTATAAGTGTATTTATAAAAATGTCGGAAGAAAAGTAAGTGTTCATTTTATTTTTATATATTTTTAGTTATTTAAAAAAGGATATTAAATTGGCAAAATGAGCCCTTAATAGTTAATGTTCTCGTCTATTTTAGCAATAAAATTCCAAGTGATGTTTTCTGAATTCTATTTAATTTAATTTTTGTTATGTAAATTAGTTTTTATCTGTGCTCGTGCCATCTCTATTCTTTATATTTACAATACGATTAGAAAACGCGTTGGACTATTTTTAACGTAAATATTTCATAATCGCCTTCTGGCCTAGTAACGAATTAATCATTATTTAAAATTATTCTTATGTATAATAAAACATAAAACAGGTTAGAGTTTATTACATGTAATAAAAATGACATCAAATCAAACTAATCAAATAAATAATACAATATAGCAAGGATTTAATATACACTTACGAAAAAAAAATCTTAGTTTTATATTCATACCAATGTTTTAGTTTTTATACATTTGAAACATTACACAGATAATAAAAGTAACTCAAATAAAAAGATTATCGTGCTACATCGAAAAGATTTGCGCAGGAGCAACGACCTGCCTAATTTTGGTGAAAGTAACACAAATTCGTATAATAAAAACCATTCAAGTATGTCTCGAACAAAACAATATTATTATAAAGTAATAATTATTATTACAAACGTATTAATGTAATTGAATTATTTAAAATTTATCAACCGGTCCCGTCCGTAATTAATAGTGCTTGTTTTGATTGTTAATCTATTATATTGCAAAATTACAGTATAAACTCACAATGTGTATACAATACCCATCGTTCTCTCCGTATCCAAATTAACTAATCCATTTTTACGTACTTATTGTAAATATTATTCTGAATACGTAACATTGAAAACATTACAATTAACTGTATTTCAAAAATTAAATTAAGAACATTTTTTCATCCTACTTTTGTTTGAATAGAGACACAGATCATTCTTCAGTGGAAAACGGTGACATGCAAATTAACAAGTTTGGTTGTTCGTACGCAGAGATAAAACAAAGCGTTCCGTCCGAATGTCATTTGCAATCTTTACAAAAGGAATACAAAAAGCTTTGTCCGGTAACGTGAAGAAAATGTTTCAATATATAACAAGGGAACACACATAAAGACATTAAGGTTATAAATAAAAAATCTTTTAAACACACATATTAGAATTAAATAAAACCACAAACTTGTAGGGGTGACGTTTTCTTAATAAGTTTTGTATAAAATTTAACGCACGCGTTTCTATTTGGTAGCCCTCGGAAGGACAAATATGTGCTCGAAAATTAATTCCAGTGATCTACGAATCCTGATCGTAGTACAAGTTAACTTCTGAAATACTCAGTTAAAAAGATTATAACAGAAATATATGTATTTATTTCCTTTGCCCTAAAAAACCGATAAAACGCATTGGAGCTTTAAAATTAAAGTAATAAGGAACTTGTTACTTTTGCGTCAAGGTTTATAATCGACTGCCTATCTCAATAACATGAGATGCGGTTGCTATCCAGCCACATCCTGACTTATCTACATTTACATTTTTACACGCGTTTTATTTAGCACCCCAACGTATTGGTTGTGATAAAAAAGGTCAACATATTGTATATTTATCGCTATTCACGTGTATTAGAAATACTGATAACGAATTGAATCGAATTTTTCAATGCCGTCTTCAAAATAATTTAAGTATAGACTGCAGAAAGTTGACATGGAACGAATATAACCTCCAAAAACTTTATCCACCAGATAGATGGAGCGTTTATAACCTAACAGTTAAAATGGTGCGCGAATTCAACCACGTGGTTCGAATATTTCTATTAAATAATTGATATTAACCATAGCTTAGTATTAGATTTTAATCTTGTATGTAATATACATTTTAAATACTTGAATGAATGAATGAATGAATATGTATTTATTGCCACAAAGTAGAAATTACATAAAAGGTTATTCTAAAGAAAAAACAATCGTGGCAAAAGGTAGCCAGCTCAGCGCATGCAGGACGGACTAAGCCGTTCCTGCTCTGCTTGTAAGAGACTTGTAAGTAACGTAAGGAGAAAAAGGTCCTGGCCACCTCCAGGGCTGTAGAGAGGGCACTAAGTGTCGCCCATTATAAAAACGTAACAGAAACCTGTAGCTTAGTTGATTTTAGTGACAAACTAATTTCTAATAGTCTGCCTACATTTAAAAAAACGCATCATAATTATATCTAATAATAGCTTTCGCCGGCCACTTCGTCCGCGCGAAATTAAATAATAATATAAAACGTAGCCTATGTTACTCACAGATAAATTATCTTCCAAGGGTGAAAGAATTTCTAAAATTGGTCAAGTAGTTTTTGAGTTATTTAATCAAAATTTTTTAAAAAATATTTAAAAAAAATCAAACAAACAACATTTTCGTCTTTATAATAGGAGACTGATGAGCCTTTATCCTTCATGATTGAATTATAACTTAAGTTCTGTTTCTTAATTTAGTCGTGGTATGAAGATGGTGTCAATTTTCCTAAAACTGCATAATTTAGTAACGCGAACTGGTACTGAATGCCAAGTTTACAGCAGTTCGACACAGAGTGTTAGTACCACTGTGACAAGGTGAAGGCGGCTGGCGAGGTTCCAACATCTTTCGTATGCAGCCACACTTTGACAGCGTGCAACGGTTATTGACTTGTTTGGTTTGTTCAGCATCTATTTATAAACAATGCCTCGAGATAAGGAAAAGTTAATAATTCATACTAATGTTCAATGCAAAAGATTGCACGGATAATAAATAAATAAATAAATCCTTTATAATTTCACTTTAAAAATATACACATTTCATGAGAGCCTTGGCTCCTGCACTAGGTTCCCCTGTGCTGCAGGAGCCAATCCCTTTCCCCATTTGTGAAGAGCAATACATATTCATAAGTGTCTAAACATAAAATACAAAGAAACACATTAAATTTACTTATTATAAAAATGACGAATAAAAAAACAAAGGAAAAGAAAAATAATGTTACTAAATATCTCCAAAACAGCTTAAATTATTTAGAAATGCGTAACATAGGTTGGAAGAAGACAGGCTACTTAACAAGTCTCTTTTTAATTCATATACACATATATTCAGATACACCCCTGTAACATTTCGGGGAATACGAATATAACAAGACCGTTAACGTCAAGCCGCTAACGCAGGTCACTAGCGTACACACAACTACCCTTATTTATGGACAATCAAAACAAATCTAAAACAATATTCACCACTAAGTGGGACAAAAGTAGGTGTAGGTCTCTCTTCTATTCCTATGTCCCCAAAGTGGGGCAGAGGGTGTTCACAGTATGCCGCCAGCTCGCTCTGTACTGGGCTCTGCGTAGTGTCTTGGACCATGACAGACACCTACACTTTGGCCTTCAAGTCGGCCAAAGTGTAGGTAGTATGTGGAAAATGTTTTCAAAGATAAGCAATAGTTTTCATCTCTGGCTCTGGCGGAACAGGAAAATACATCTATTTTAGTGTGTTTTCTGAAAACAAGTATAAACAATTGCCAAACGAGATGTCATGAGATTTTGACTAAAAATAAGTACCTCGCTTTCAACGGTATGGAATAATTTTAGCTTAGTTACATAAGTGTTTACTAATTACCATAATTTGGCAGCCACATAACTCATATTGTGTATTGTTTCTGCCAAAACTAGAAGACACCGTCTTCTATTTATAAAACCAAAGTTCTGGTCAAGAAGATAGTTTTAGATTAAGAAATAAATAAAGTCATATGGATCTTGTGTCCAAGATAACAGTAATATTCCAGCGACTTACTTTTTCAAATCAACAAAGGCACGTCATACCAACCAGCAGTGGACAATCTTAGGCTGACAATGTTAATGATGATGTCAATATTATGTGTGTTGTGCGGAAAGTAATCATAACGACATTGCACAAAAAACAAAAAAAAAACAAAAATAATACACGACTACTTTTAAATTAAACTTTGTATCGTTTTGGTGACTTAATAATAACGTACGAAGTTATTGTCGTTTATGAAGTTACTAGATTTCTCCCGCGACACCATCCGCGTGATATTAAAAAAAATAGTAAGTAACCTATGTGTTCTTCCATACTATCCTCTACATCTACACCAAATTTAATCGAAATCTCTCTAGCGCAACAAAACTCTAACAAACATCCATCCATCGATCTAAACTTTCGTATTTATAATATCAGTATGAACTATGATTGCTGCTTTTGTTAAAAAAAGTCGTGTATAGACTGTTGTAAGCAATGATTGTAACCTCGGTTCCTCTTGAATCACTCGAATTCTCGTATACGTCAAACTCTAATCAATTACCTCATTGTTAGCTGGGTTGGTCTAATTACTTAACTTGTCACAGCGGTCCAAACTTCTCTGACGGGAAGTTGAATGAAGATTGCGTCAAAGGTACAAAGTCCCTACAATTCGTGCCAAGTACTTTAAACGAGAGAGAATATTTAGGTTATTTTTAACTTATTTATATCGATCACTTCAATGTCAATGTCGCGTTCAGATTTCTCAAACTCGTTTGGACATCCCGAATTAGCAATGTTCAGTCGACTTGTCATTTTTTGCAGATTTTGTTTGTTTTCTTGTTGAGATAAAATAACATATTTGTTCATATTACAGTTCTAAAACGGTCATTTAAGAACTATTGATTTTTGTTTTTAAAATGTTGCCAGTAAAATATCTGTAAATAATTGTTCACTCTGTACTCCAAAAATAAATAAATAAGTCATAAGTTAATGACGGTTTTAAAAGGGACTAATTATGTACAATTAGGTACTATAGACAATACTAAAATGAGGTCAATCGCCGGAACCGATTCCGTTCATTGGAAAACTGCGAATAAGTCTCTCAATGTCTATGACCTTTGCTGATAAAAGACTAATCTACTCAGAGGCACCAAGCTTAATTCTCTTGTATGATTTAATAAGAGAGGTCTCTAAAATGTGTTACCAGTTAATTCATTTTGGCACCAATTAAGCAATCAGGC